GATAAAGTTAGTATCTCATACATCATTTTATCTACCACAATGCCAAACAAAGTATTTATTATTACTGGAGAGAAAGACTGATATTACATATAGCTATCATATTTATGATTAGACAGAACCATGGTTAGGACTGTTTTTGTGTTCCCATCACCTCGTTTCAAATTGTAGCTAATGATGGTCAAAATGGCTAGTTTTCAATAACACTTTGGCCTAGATTTTCTCCTTCCTACCTTATAGGATTACACAATAGTCTTGCATAGTGGGGGAATACAGTAAGTACTGTATAAATGTCATTTTCATCTTTCCCTCAGAAATATGAGAAAGTCTCTATATGGAGGACACCTATTACCATTCACTGGAACTGCTTCTCTTTTATCCCAAATACTCAGGCACTTCTGCTCCGCCAGTATCCTCATTTGGCCCAGCTAGCTTTGCCAAAATTGCAATAAGGGTAAGCCTTTTGTTTCAAAGGAATGACAGCTATTAGGGCTGAATGGCCTCTCTTGCCATCAGCACTAAGGTTCTTGACCATTAAAGTCCTGTTAAAGTTGTTGACTCTTTCAAAAACATCATCAGTAATTTCAATTAAGAAAATGAAAAAGCAATGAAGTGATCTAATATCTGTACTGAATGGTTTTTTCCTCCGGTAAGGACGCAAGGGATAAGATAAGCCAATGGATAACATGAAATTCTTAAATCTTAAATCTCAAAGGCTCATTAATTTCACCATGAAATGATACATACAGATTCCTGAGGAATGCAGAACATCTAAAGGTACTCTGCTTCTCTTTTACTTCCACCTCCAGAGCCAGTTATAAGCTATTATGGGTCTAGGGGGACAAGGTGAATATACAAGTAACAAATAAATGCCCTGAACCATCTAGAGTAGACTCAGTGTAACCATCAAGGTTTTAGGCAGAAATAAGCCCCTAGGACTTATCCAAGAAAACCTGAATTCCTTTATCAGTCCTGAAACTACCCTAAGCTCCCTACTAGCCTATCTGCACACTGGGGTAATAGTAAGCCAAACTACAGTTGGCCTGCCAGACTCCAAATCTCCACCATGAGGCTTTCCTTTGAGATCTGGGAGTATGAACCTCAACATTTGCTGGCTACTATCTCCTCAAGGCCAGACCGAAAGCTTCAATAATCACAGGGCTTTGGGATAGCCTTAATTTGGAATTCCTCTGTTATTCACTAACAATTTAAAATCATCTACATTAATTCTCACTGCTTTGCCCCATAAAAAACACTAACTCAGAGCAGCTTTGTATGCAAGATATTAAACCAAGTTAAAAAAAATAACTCCTGACATAAATATGTCATATGTAAAGTGCAAAATCTCAAAAATATGAATTACTTCAGGAATATCTTCTCAGAATGAAGACAAAATCAAATTACCCTTTTGATAGTGAATTACTTTCCTCATGTAAATTCACACTCAAAAGCAAATAAAAGGCAAACATAGGTTATCTTTTTTCTTTAATAAGACATCAAATAAAAATATTGCCTTTGGAGGGGAAGAACCATTAAATAGAACAGGTAAGGGGCTTAAAAATGTAAACTTAATGTAAACTTAAATTTAAAAAATATTCCTGTGCTGCCTTCTTGCTATTTGGCTAAAACACCTCCCTCCCTTTAAATTATCCTGTGTTGGGGCGTCTGGGTGGCTCAGTCATTAAGCATCTGTCTTCAGCTCAGGTCATGATCCCAGGGTCCTGGGATGGAGCCCCTCGTTGGGCTCCCTGCTCGGCGGGAAGCCTGCTTCTCCCTCTCCCGCTCCCCCTGCTTGTCTCTTGCTGTCTCTCTCTGTCAAAATAAATAAATAAAATCTTTAATAAAATAAATAAATAAAGCATCCTGTGTTTACCAGTATTTTTGTTTTTTGCTAGATCACAGCCTCTAACTTTTCAGAAGTGGAGTGCAGGTTATTAAGCTGGATTCTTCCTTTGGCACTCACCCTTTGACACATTCCACTAAATTTGAGATTTATTTATATTGATAACTGCCCCTTTTAAAAACAAATGCATCCTGCGGCGCCTGGGTGGCTCAGTTGGTTAAACCGCTGCCTTCAGCTCAGGTCATGATCCCAGGGTCCTGGGATCGAGCCCCACACTGGGCTCCCTGCTCATGCAGGAAGCCTGTTTCTCCCTCTGCCTGCCGCTCCCCCTGCTTGTGCTCTCTCTCTCTCGCTATCTCTGTGTGTCGAATAAATAAATAAATAAATAAAAATTAAAAAAAATGCATCCTGGAAAGGTTAATTCTATATTACCTTTCAATTAAGACTCAAAGAAGAGAGGAAGGGAGAAAGAAAAGGAGGGAGGAAGAAGACAGAAGAGGATGAGGGAATCATGTCTTAAGTGAAGTAGGGTATGAAATCAGCCAGAGTGTCTTAGACCTGGGGCACCTGTGTGGCTTAGTCGGTTAAGTGTTTGCCTTTGGCTCAGGTACTGATCCCAGGGTCCTGAGATCGAGCCCCACATGGGAAGCAGGGGTCTGCTTCTCCCTCTCTCCCTGCTCACTCTTTTTGTCTCTGTCTCTCTCTCAAATAAATAAAATCTTGGGGCGCCTGGGTGGCTCAGTTGGTTAAGCGACTGCCTTTGGCTCGGGTCATGATCCTGGAGTCCCAGGATCGAGTCCCACATCGGGCTCCCTGCTCAGCAGGGGGTCTGCTTCTCCCTCTGGCCCTCTTCCCTCTCGTGCTCTCTCTCTCTCATTCTCTCTCTGTCAAATAAATAAATAAAATCTTAAAAAAAATCTTTAAAAAAAATTAAATAAATAAATAAATAAAATCTTAAAAAAAAAAAAAGAGAGAGAGAGAGTCTTAGACCTAAGTAAATAAAATGGAAACAAAAAGCCTTCACTGGAGACACTGGAATTCACATAACGTCCAGGCAATCAAAAGCTACACGTTACACCTGTGCCACAGATACTAAATTAAACAACTTTAGGACTTATCAAAGTAATAATATGGGTGATAAAGTTATCAGAATTGTTATATGGAATGCATATAAACAAAATTTACTCAAAGATTTAAAAAGCTCCATTCCAAATAGTTGACTAAAGAGTCACTTCAGTGTTAAAGGTTTTTGCCAGGTTTCCAGTGAGGGTCTCCCAAGGACTACATTTAGGTGGGTGAAATAATTATGAAAGCCACATGTTTGCCAGTATTTAAAACATGTGGCCCAAAATATACTCTATGCTCTAATTTAAAATACAATATAAGGCTTTAATTTTAGAATCCTCAGAGCTGTCATTTCTTGGTGTTTTTGCCATGTTTAAACTAGCCAGATACTTCCTTTAATATACCAGAAATACAAGGCAGAGAAGAGATTCTTTAAAATGGAAGGTTTGCCAAACTGCTTTGCCGCAAAGCAGTTTTTTACTAGACCACTGAACTTTGCTCCAGTTTTAATATTGGCTTCACTCAATATTAAAAGCCACTATCAACTATAAATGCATCAAATGCTAGGTACTGAGGTTACAAAACTGAAAAAAAAACAGAATCTCTGCCTTTGAGGCAGTCATAGTCATTCAGCAGAAAGAGACATATGAACAGATAATTACAATACTACCTGATTAAGTTCTACAAGAGATATGAAGAGAACATTGTTCAAACAAAGTAGTAAAAGCCACTATGTCAGCCTGGAGGACTATGCTAAGTCTACTGAAGAGGATTTGACATTTAAATTCATCTGCAATGAGGTAGTTAGGTTAGTCAATCTGTAAAGTCCCTTCTATTAAAAAAAGGACAAAAAATTGAAGGTCATGGAAATCTTACTTGTCAAAAACGGCTGGTGCAGATTATTCCAGTTTGTTTATTAATCTAATCTCTGTATCAAAAAGAGAGTATTTTACTCATACAACCCTCATCTTCTCTCCCAAACTTGTCCTCTTCTTGCGTTCCTTTTCTTGGTAAATGGTAATACCATCTAAAAACTTAACCTTTCACAGCCAACTAAACACCAGCTTCTACTGATTCTATTCCCTAGTCTCTTTACTCTGCCTGCTTCGACCTCCAATGGCTACCACCACCCCTTATGTTAGAAGCTTCTGATAGCTTCCGAGAGTGTTCTTGTCTCTGAAATCCCTTCTCCCAATCAACAAATTCTCCACATTAGGGCCAAAATGATTTTCCAAAGCACAAGTCTGATCACATGACAACCCATCTTAAAAATCATTCAACTGCTTCCTACTGTTCTCAGAAGAAGCCCAAACTCTTCAGCATAGTTGTCAATATCTGGCCTGGCTTGCATCTTGCTACAATCTTTTATAGTACTCGTATAGAACCTCTTGCAGTTTCCTCAATACACAGTACTCACTCACCATCTGCAGAGCCTTCCAAGGCTCCCTCAAAAGAAAAGCAGATGACTTTCCAAAGTGATCTTTCAGCACCTTCTGCTTCTCCATTACCATACTTACCACACTATATAGGATTTTAATTACCTGTCTGTCTCCCCCAGGAAGCTGTAAGCTCCTTAGGGACAAAAACTATCTCACACATTCTTGTATTTCTTATCTAAAGCAGTATGCTTGCCTGGCATTGACATATACTTCATGCTTGATAAAGATTTGTTGAATGCATGGATAAATGAACAAATGAATGAATAAACTGCAAAGAAAGAGAAATTCAATGACCTACAATTTGTCATAATACTTATTAGTTACACTACACAGAAACCTTTATTCTGTCTACCTATAGCATGACCATATTTAAGTCATGAGCCTATCACAATTAACCTGTTTTCAGAAACATAAAGGCAGCTATACCATAAACTCAAAATTCAAATGAACTTAAAAATTTACTGATGTCCTCCAGTTTAGACAGTATAAACCTACTACTTAGGTCATTTTTTGGAATACATATATATCAGAATCATGATATCCTATACATTTAAAATAAAATTATAACTACACAAGTACTATTACATTATTTTCACAGGTAAAACACTGAGTTTGCTTTTTAACATAAATGAAAGCTGCACTCATCACTGACTCACCGATTCTTTTCCAGCTCATTGTGTGTAGACCTAAAAGGAAAACAAAAAAGACCATTTAGCCACTTGTTGCTAAGGCTATGGAAAGGGGGATTAGTTACTGCTCTACCACACCCAGTGAATTTCTTTAACAACACAATATATAGTCAGACTTGTATAACCTCACTCATCAAGAAGAAATAGTCTACATTCATTAGAACTATCCATCTGGATATGGTGTCTTCAGTTAAGAACTAACTTCTGACACTGGTGTTTCACTGTTATCTTAATAAAATTAATACTAGCACATGTTCTCTTGCCTACTTTTAGTTTCCTACATTTTGTTTATTTGTAGATTTTTAATTCAAACATTACCCCATTTTTGTTTAAAAAGAAAAATGTACTTCTATGTCTTCTTCTACCTCCGTTTAGTAACCCCTAAACATAGGGAGAAAAAAGTTTTGGCTAGCACAGAAGCTGACAGGCTTGCCTTACTGCTAAGTGATACAAATTCAAGCTTTCCTAACCTTTGTGTAAAACATAAACAAAGTTATACAAAGAAGAAAATAATATAAATAAAAGAAGATACATTAATAAAATCAAGAAACACACCTTTAAAAGACTGGGGGGATATACCTCAAAATGCTAACAATGGTTATTTTCTTTTTGTGACTTTTTTTCATTTTGCTTATCAGTATTTGTTATAATACTTATCATCTACTGAACAAGTGTAGTGTCTGCTAAACAGTGTGCTAAGCAGTTAACATATATTATTTCATTTTATCCCCCAAATGACCCTTGTTTTATAAGTAAGAATACTGAACCTCAGAGAGGTGGAAATAGGCTCTTGTCCCCAGAGTAGAAGTAGCAACTACGATTTAAGCCCAGGTCTTTCTTACTCCAAAACCCAAATTCTTTTTTATTTTTAAGTTTTATTTATTTACCTGAGAGACAGAGGAAGCATGAGCAGGGGAAGGGGCAGAAGAAGAGAGAGTAAATAAGCAGATTCACCACGGAGCAGGGAGCCTGATGTGGGGCTTGATCCCAGGACCCTGGGACCATGACCCGAGCCAAAGTCAGACACTTAACCAACTGAGCCACCCAAGCACCCCCAAAACCCAAATTCTTAACTACCTGGTAGTTAAGGGCACAGACGATAAGGCCAGAGTGCTGGGTTCAAAGAGTGTGTGGCCTTAAGTGCCTTCATTTCTCTCTGCTCAGTTTCCTCATTTATAAAATAGGAAAAGTAATAGTACGTGCCTCATGTGATTGTTATGAGGAATAAACAGGTTTATACTGAACAGCAAAATATAACAAACTCTAAAGTTAGCTATTATTAGAATTATGTTATATGAGTTCTCTTAAATGAACATGTATTACTTTTATAAAAATTTAGCATTAACAATAACAGGAATTTCATAAAAGAATTTAAGTTCCTGTCACCAGATCTAAAACTTTAATCATTTAATATATGCTGGTTAATATCAAATGTTTTCAGAATATCACATTACTGATTAATCTGATTTATTATTCTAGTGGATATTTAACAATCACATTTCTAAACTTTAACAATAGGAGTGTTTTTGTCAGTCTCATAATTTGTAAAAATTTTACTCACTTTTTTTTTAAGATTTTATTTATTTATTTGACAGAGAGAGTGAGAGAGCACAAGCAGGGGGAGCAGGAAAAGGAGCAGGGAGCCCGATGCGGGACTTGATCCCAGGACCCTGGGATCATGACCTGAGCTGAAGGCAACGCCCAACCATCTGAGCCACCCAGGCGCCCCTACCCACTGTTTTTTAGTTCAAAAGCCAAAAGTCTTCTTTGAGTTACTGTATCTTGTGCACTTTTTGCTTTCTTAACAGTTTTATAAGGTCCAAGTGACACAGGATGAAAAAGTCTAATGTTCATTTTCAAGAGATTATCTTAATAAAAGGATTTCTCCCTCAAGAGGTAAAAAAAAAAAAAATCTTAAGATGCTTCAAGAGTTCAGCCAAATTAACAGGAAGGATATGTATAATTCAGGTGAAAGAAATCATAAAAACACAGAACTTTTAGTTTAACAGAGACTCAAGAGCTCAAAACCCAATAAATAAATTACAACCAAATAAAACCAAAGTTTTAAGTTCTTGTTTGTCAAAGTAAATCAGCAAATCAGAAGAGGAAAAGGACATATCTTAAAGAGATTTAAAACAAAAAACATTGTTCAAAATTTGAATGGGCATTCAATAATGAAATTCCCCACCCCCTCGTAGTAAGTTTTGGTTTAACTGCCTTTATCTGAAGAAAACTTAGAACGAGTAAAACAAAAACAATGGAATATAAAGTAAGTAATAAAGGGAAATAATCTATATTTAGAGGGAGGTAGACTATTTACCATAAACTTATCCTAAACAGTTTGGAAATCCCACATTTGGCCATAACTGCAAAAGAATATATATACTCAAAGATAAGGAACTGTTGAATTCCAATATTGTATTAAGCCTATTGTCAAAGCTAGCACCAAAAGAACATAATCTGACCCACTGCTGTGAACAAAATTAAAACAGCAGTTCTTCCCATCTCTCTGACTTTTATCTTCTTTCTAAAAAAATATAAAATGATAGCCAAGATTATAAACTTTTCTCCACCAAACCAAGAAATACATGTCATATCTAGTTATACCACTAGTAACATTTAACATTTCCAAATACCACAAACAAAAATGATCATGTATGTACTAATCTTTACCATATTGCCATGATCTTCCAATTTTTTTTTTAAGATTTTATTTATTTATTTGACAGAGACAGAGTGAGAGAGGGAACACAAGCAGGGGGAGTGGGAGAGGGAGAAGCAGGCCTCCCACAGGAGCAGGGAGCCCGATGCGGGGCTCCATCCCAGGACCCTGGGATCATGACCTGAGCTGAAGGCAGACGCTTAACGATCGAGCCACCCAGGGGCCCCAATCTTCTAATTTTTAAAAAGTTCATCAGTAGTATTTCTATTTTGATGGCTTTTTTGCCTGTAATCTTAAGTTAACATATACTTTGTTTCTTTAAGACTGTCTTAGACTACAAGGAATCAAAGACGGTCTCTAGCTGGTAAATTTAAGACATGTATAGAAATAATTATAATTCAAGGCAAAATAAATATATTTAGAAAGGTACAAAGCATTGTGGGAGTTTAAAGTAGGCAGAATTTACTTCCAAATGTGGTTTTCAGGGTAAATTTTAGAAAAGGTAGCATTTGGTATGGATCTTAAATGATGACAATTTGCTACTAGTAGAGGCTGGATCTGGGGGAGGACATACCAAGTGGAAGGGAGCATAAGCATAAAAGCATAGCTGGCCCAAAACTCTATGGTCAACTAATTTTCCAACAAAGCAGGAAAGAATATCCAATGGAAAAAAGACAGACCTTACCACAAATTGTGTTGGGAAAACTGGACAGCAACATGCAAAAGAATGAAACTGGATCATTTTCTTACACCATGCACAAAAATAAATTCAAAATGGAGGAAAGACCTAAATATGAGACAAGAAACCATCAAAATCCTACAAGAGAACACAGGCAGTAACCTCTCTGACATCAGCCGTAACAACTTATGTCTCCCAAAGCAAGGGAAACAAAAGCAAAAATAAACTACTGGGACTTCATCAAGATAAAAGCTTCTGCACAGCAAAGGAAACAATCAACAAAACTAAAAGTTAACCTTTGGAATGAGAAACGATACTTGCAAATGACATATCTGATAAAGGTTAGTATCCAAAATATATAAAGAACTTCTAAAACTCAATACCCAAAAAACAATCTAGTTAAAAAAATGGGCAGAAGACATGAACATTTTTTAAAGAAGACATATAGATGGTCAGCAGACACATGAAAAGACATGCAACATCACTCATCATCAGGGAAATACAAATCAAAACTACAATGAGATATCACCTCACACCAGTCAGAATGGCTAAAATTAATAGCACATGAAACAAAAGATCTTGGCAAGGATACAGAGAAAGGGGAACCCTCTTACATTGTTGGTGGGAACGCAAGCTGGTGCAGCCACTCTGGAAAACAGTATGGAGGTTCCTCAAAAAGTTCAAAACAGAACTATCCCATGATCCAGCAATTGCACTATTGGGTATTTACCCAAAGGATACAAAAATACTGATTCCAAGGGGCACATGCACCCTGATGTTTATAGCAGCATTATCAACAATAGCCAAATTATGGAAAGAGCCCAAATGTCCATCGACTGATGAATGGATAAAGAAGTTGTGGTATATGTATACAATGGAATGTTACTCAGCAATAAAAAAAAGATTGAAATCTTTCCATTTGCAATGACGTGAATGGACATAGAGAGTATTATGCTAAAAGAAATAAGTCCGTCAAAGAAAAGCAGATACCACATAATTTCACTCTTAGATGTGGAATTTAAGAAACAAAACAGATGAACATGGGGGAGGGGAGAGAGAGAGAGACAAACCATAAAACAGACTCTTAACTATAGAGAACAAACTGAGGGTTGCTGGAGGGTAGGTGGGCAGGGTGATGGGTATTAAGAAGGGTACTTGTGATGAGCACTTGGGGTGTTAGATGTAAGTAATGAATCATTAAATCCTACACCTGAAACTTACACTGTATGTTAACTAACTGAAATTTAGATAAAAACTTGGAAGAAAAAGAAATAAAATAAAATAAGCAGAGCTGTGAAGTCCAAAGCAAAACCAGAGAACAACAATATATAGGTCATAAAGATTTGTGGTGTTAAAGGAAAAAAGTCCTAAGTCTATTAACTCTATCCCTCACATTAGCTGTGTAACTTTATTTATTTTTTTTAAAGATTTTTTTTACTTATTGACAGAGACAGACACAGCGAGAGAGGGGAAACTAGCAGGGGGAGTGGGAGAGGGAGAAACAGGCTTCCCAAGGAGCAAGGAGCCGATGCGGGGCTTGATCCCAGGACCCTGGGATCATGACCCGAGCCAAAGGCAGACACCCAACGACTGAGACACCCAGGCGCTCCTAGCTGTGTAACTTTAAACAAATTATTTAACCTCTCTGATTAACAG